GCCAAAAGGCGTCGGATTGTTGGGCCGACCCGAAGAGCAGAAGGACTTCGACTCAGCCGATCCAACATCTGGATCGGCTGAGCCGAACCTCCGGCAGACTACTTGCTGCTGTTCGGCCTATTCCCATAGGGGCCGAACAGCAGTGAGTGAATAGTGGCATCCGGCTCGCCTATTCTGCTCGGTACCTCTGTGGTATCGAGCGGAATAGAAAAACAGTTAAAAAGGTAGAAAAAAAAATAGAAAACGATTGGGCGGAGCTAGCAGTGACAGCTAGCTCCACTCAACTGTTTTCTAATGGCCGGGACCAGCTGTCATTACAATGAGAGCTCGTCGGAGCCGGCGGTGGTATCAAAGCCGGCTCTGCTGAGTTCTCATGGTACTGATAGCCACTGATTACCAAGTAACTAGGGGACGCTGAACTGTCATTGCCATGAGAGCTCAGCAGAGTCGGCTTTCATATCCCCGCCGGCTCTGCTAAGCTCTCATCGTAATGGCAGATCAGCGTCCCCTGGTTACCTAGTAATATATGCCTTTGGCTCGACTGAGCCGCTCGGCCAACTTCGGGAGCTGTACGGGCTATAGGGAATAGCCCCTACAGCAGCTCTTCGGTTCTACTGAACCGAAGGGCTCCCGTAACCGAAGCTAGCTGTGAATAACCCTCTATGTGTAAGTTCCATTTAAGTAGCTGGACATAAAAAATGCAGAGATGTGAACACTATGTCACCCAGAAGAAGGGACCCTGCGTGGCCCCCAAATGTTGGCTGTATGACGCATGTGACAATTTAATAAAAAGTGCTTTACTTCTTGCACATATCATCGAGTGCTGGTGACTTCTATTGTGGACTGTATTCTATTAATTTATTTATTACATTTATTTATATAGTGCTGTCAATTTACACATCACTTTCATATTATACATTCACATCAGTCCCTGCCCTTAATTAGCTTTCAGTCTACGGTCCCTATTTCATATTAACAAGTGTAACAAAACAAAAGTGCGTGCGTGCATACTTTACAATATAAACTATTTCCTGTGTACAGCAGTTCAAAAGTGTAATTGCTGCCACACTGCATATAGCATTTATAACAGTTTGAATATTGTGTGCATATGTCTGATTGCAATTCCTTCTTTTCACAGATCTTATGTGAGGAGTTAGACAAGTGCAATATAAAGCTTGTAGAACTGGATGCAGCTGTGCAAGACTTTAGTGAGCAAAATCACACACTGGCAAAGCAGTTGGTGGACAAAGTAGGCGTACTAACTGAAGTGCAACTGCAAGCCAGCAAGGAGGCTGAATACAAGACAGGCAGAGTAAAACAGGTATGAAACTGACATTGCGTCATTTGTTTTTTTGTTTGTTTGTTTTTTTATGAGAACTCCTGTCATCTTATAGTGTACTCCCCTACCACACTGATGCACACTTTTTAGACAGTAGGTGGTCCGCAAGTTGTATTTTAGTTCAATTTAAAAAATAATTTCAAGTACTATATTAACAAAAATGAGGTACATTTTTGTTAATAAAGGGCATAAGGTACTTGAATGCACTTTTAAGATTTAACTCCTGAGTTTAGTGTTACTTTAAAGAAAAATACAAACAACATGGCAGTGATTGGGATCTTTGCATATCGATTTAACCGATCATAATAAACTAGGTATTTATATGACTGTAAAGGATACTAAAGTAAAGAAGCTCATCAGTCATACTGAGGACTTATTCAGATCAGAATTATGTTCACAGTGAGATGCTATTCAAATCAATTAAAGCTGAAGGCCAGTTATTTGTTTTGAGGTTGGCAGCACCAGGGACATAACTAACTTCTGATAAAATGTGCCCCATGTGCTGTTGGCTGCTGCTTAATGTAGAAATTGTCCCTCCACTGATACCAGATAATCCCCACAGTGTTGATCTTCTGGCAGTCTGGGGGTTATGATCAGCAGCTTTGAACCACTGTGCTGCTATCCCTCCTCTTCCTACTCATAACACCAAATGTAAATGACCCGAAGACAATATATTTAAATTTGTGTCCCTTTATTTGTTCAAAAGTCTGTAAAAAATACCAACACATTTCAGGGGTTTTAGTATTGGTTGCTGTGAGCAGCTGTTTTGCTTCTTGCCAGATTTTCTTTGTATAATGTCTATATGTTAACCATCAACTAAATTTTTTTATAGGCTGCAATTCAACTAGAAGAATACAATGAAATGCTAGAATTTATTTTGCGTTGGATAGGGAAGGCAAAAATATTAGTACACGGTGCAATCATCTGGAATTCAGCAAGCCAGCTTCGTGATCAGGCAATGTCTCATCAGGTAAGTTGTAGTTGAAATTTCAGTGTTTCTTTTGAATTACACCACCAAATAGATGACTTTGGGTAGCTATGTATGTGTTCCTTTATGCACACTTTAACACACAAATGTATTGAGGGCTGCCCAGTCTCCTGTAGATTTACTTGCCACAATTTGGAAAGCATTATAGGTAGATCATTTAGAAAACATTAGAGGTAGATCAATATTGGCTAAGATAATTTAAATTCTAAACCTGGTATTCAATATGTTTGGTAACTGTATACAGTTTTCTTAAGATAATTGTTTTTTAGGGAATTTGTTGCAAAGTTTCTTATCTTGACAGACAATGCTAAGCAGTGTTGTCAGCTTAGCAGCAGTGTTGTCAGCTGCTGTGCAGACTCTTTCAGTTGGCCATTGGGCTGCCTATCTGATAGACCTGCAAGGCAGCCAAATGGCCAACTAAAAGAGCACATATGGCAGGTTGACAACACTGCTGCTAATTGCGAGGACGCAACTTGCATTGTCAGCTTGCAAGAAGCACTGTAACTGACAAGTTTTCCAGGTAAGTCAGTTTGCACCAGATTAAAAAAAAACTAAAAGCTGAACTTTAACCTTCCTTTTTTTCCCCACATTTGTTGTATGTCCTCTCCTGTGCTGAAACTAATTACTCTCAATTTCCTGTAAACTTGCATTTGCAATATAACCCTTTGAACCTACAGCAGCTATCTTGATCTCCATCATTCATCAATCATTTCTCCCCCTTGACATCACTGGTCCCCCTCTCAGAGCCATTAGTTTTCTCTGCCATCAGTTATTCTGTTCCAGAGCTTTATGTGAAAGAACAAATCCCCGGTACCGCTGTTAGACGTGCCTGCAACCAGTCAACCAATCAGCAGACTTCACAGCATCCATTGGCCAGCAGAAAGAAGCAGGCACATCTAAAGGGATCCCTGTGATGTGTTCTGTTCTTTCATAAAATGCTTTTGAAAAAGAACTGAGGCAGAGATCCCTGATGTTTACAGGAGCTTGCCAGCCCTTCTGACCAAACTGCAACAATATGCAGCAGACCAACATTACTGGGTCTCAAAACGGGTATTTCTTGAAAATGGTTTAATTGAAAAATTGTAATTGCATGTTGATATCAGAGGAGGGGGGCAATGGTAAGTATTATATGTGTGAGCACACTATACTTTAGCTTTAACTGATTTTTCCTCTTTACTTTATCTAGCCTTAGACAGGCAGTGATTAAAAAAACATGTCAGAAATTGAAAGTCTTGAGAGGAATACAGGAAGTATCACGTAGCTGCTTAGAAGCCTAGTGTCGTATTTAGAGATTGCACCAGTCCACCCCAATTTCTTAGGTCTGTAATGTGATGATCCTGGAATGTGCCTAATGGTGATGCTGAAACCCCTCCCTGCCTCTTGCATGTGGAAATCCATTATTAAGAGGTTTCTCAGAGTCACCAATCAAATTCAAATCTACATTGGAATTTTAAATGTAGCTGCTGATGTAGGAAGCAAACACTGCACAGACCTCAGTACACACATACTGTCCACCTACTGACTCTCTGCCAAAGTAATTTGAAAACTATCTGACTTCGATCACAGTTGCTGTATTTACTGGATAACATAAGCAGCTTACTGAACGATTTAACTTGCATGAAATGTCTATTTACATGTTTGTTGTTTATAGGCTATGTTGGATGAGTCTAGAGATATCCGCAGTGATCTGGAAGCTATGAATGAGAAGATAGACTACTTATCAAGTGTGCACCATACTGAAGGATTGTGTCAGCAAGTATCAGAACTTGGACGAGAGACTGAAGAACTGCAACAAACAATCAAACAACGCCTGATGAGCCTTTATGATGCAGCAGAAGTAAGAGTCTTCTCATAGTACAAGACACTAAGGAGGAGCTATACATAAACATTTGGCTGCTAACAGGAATTTGTTAGCGCAGTATAGAGTGACAAAGCAATAAGTAAAATAACGTACCTTTAGCATATAGTTAACAATGGGAAACAGCAGAGCACTTCCGCACGTGGGACAGTGCCTAGGCACACTCCATTCTGCCTGGTCACTCCTGCTTACGATTACTGGAATACAATGACAAATGTCACAAGGGTACGGAGTCTACCTAACTGAAAGAACAGCTTGTAAGCACTCTGGATTTGATGAAAAAATGGGCCTAGGAAAAAAGGGCAACTGAAGGATATTTACTGTATGTGCTATATTATTCACAAATGGTATATCTTGCATGTATTGAAGGATAAGGTTGCCTGAGTCTTTAGCTGCAATTTATGAAAGCATATCTTAAAGTGAACCTGTGCCTGGCCCATGCACAGCTGCTTATATTTACCTTCCCTTCTGTCCCCCAACACTCCATTCACACAAGGAAGCAAAGAAAAGCAGTGCTGGTTAAGCTCGAGATTGTTGCAATGTGCAACCTACACTTGGCAGAGTATTATCTCCTTGCCCCATGTGACAGTATTGGGTGACAGTATTGGGTGCCTGAGTGACCAATCACCAAAGCACCAAGGTTGGGAGGAAGTGGAGTGTCGCTCTTCCCTGGTAGAATAAAGAGAAGTGTGGGAGTTGATAGAAAGTAAGTGCAAGCAACTGTGGAGTGCCAGCACTAAAGCACAGGTTTATTATAAAGCGATCACATAATTTATAGTATATAAACTTATAATATCGCTAAATGCAGAAAAAAGTACCATTCAAATCTTCCAAAACGTTTTCAGGTAGCCCCCCAACCAGGACACAGTGTGCCCATGATCTTAACTTCTGCAAATTGGGCTCAAGGCCCCACTTGCAGCCATTTAAAAATATAGTGCTAGAGCCTCAGAGGCCAGTAGAAGTTTTGGTATTTTTTTCTAACTCTCTAATAAGAATGCCCATCTTCTTGTTTGCAGTGTGTGCACTAAGAGTACATACATAAGAATTAGGATGCTGGTAAAATATTATACATGAGATAATATGCTCTTGTCTGTTCACATCATAACACAACTACAATTTGTATTATTTTGTAGAATGATCAATGGTTACCCAAGTACTATAATGTTGTCTTGATTTCATTATACCATTCAGGATATGAGAACGTTTGAGAGTGAAGTGAGAGCTTTACAAACAGCACTGGCACAAGCTCAGTCTACACTTACTTCTCCAGAACTTGGACACCTGAGTCTTAAGGAGCAACTATCACATCGACAGGTGAGATGGTGTTGAGCTTACTCCTAAAAGTTTATTGAATTCAGGTTTATGATGTTTACCACAAACTGCCTTAAATTAATATTTACATTTTACAGCATCTGCTTTCCAAAATGGAGTCTCTGAAGCCAAAAGTACAAGCTGTTCAGGTTTGCCAGAGTGCCTTAAGAATCCCTGAAGAGGTAGTCACCAGTCTTCCTATATGCCGTACAGCTATCAGGCTGCTAGAGGAGACCAGCCGTCTTCAACACACAGCTATCCAACAGTGCAATATAATGCAGGTAACTACTTGAATGAAATGAAGAGTCACAAAAACAGCACATGCTTATGGATCTAATCTCCCCACTAGCCATTTGAATCATTCCATATGTACCAAGTATATAAATATGTGTTGAAAATGGTGTAGGTGCTATGTATAGGCAGAACAGAAATTAATTTTGGTGGGAAATGCATGGATTTTGTCACCCAGTGTTACTAAGTATATCGTTTTATCCTTATCCTTGTTTAAATTGACACAACTCAGGAGTTAAACTTAAAAAATGCATTCAAGTTCCTTAACTATTAACAAAAATGTATCTTATTTGTGTATCACTCAGCTGTAGATCCTCAAATCATCTCTGAATTCATACTGAGAATGTCCTTTGTTTTGGAGGTTGGCTACTTTTGTTTCCCATGGTCCCTGTGTGTGCTGTAAAGTAGCCGCCACTCTAAGCTCAATCCCGTGATGGACTACAATCTCAATACAAATTAGTAATCTAAACATGAGAGTAGTGCATCACAGGAGTGAGCTTGGAGTCGTGGCACACACAGGGACCATGGGGAACAAAAGTAGCCACCATCCTGAAGGAAGGACAGTGTCAGCATGAATTCAGAGAGGAATTGAGGATCTACAGCCAAATAAGATACATTTTTGTTAATAGTTAAGGAACTTGAATGCATTTTTAAGATTGAACTGCTGAGTTTAGTGTCACTTTAATACTGGGCTTTTGCAAAAATATAAACATTGTGTTGTGCACTTTAAACACAGTTTCAGATGAAATTGTTGCTTTGTTTCCCTAACCCATAGGAGGCAGTAGTTCAGTATGAACAGTATGAGCAAGAAATGAGACATTTGCAGCATCTCATTGAGGAAGCACATCGGGAACTACAAGATGCAAAAGTAACAACTAACAACATCCAAGAACTTCAGATCCAAATTAAACGCCATGAGGTATGCTGTATCTAAATAATTGTAGTGGTGTTTTTCTGTATATGTTTTATTGTATTGTTTTCAAAGTGTTAAAAGAGAAGTAAAACCATACCTTTTTTCTTTTGGGTCACCGGAGTGCATTTACTGTTGTTATCCTGTGAACCCAAGTCAGCATATAGCACATAGCCACACTGAAGCCAGGAAGGATCCTTACATTATTGGAGGTCCATAGAGGGAAGGCGGGAATCCTTGCGGGGAGCAGTGACTGTCAGTCACTGCTCTGTGCAGGGAGAAGACCGTGAGCTGAGCTGACCATCGGTTACTTGATCGATCAACTCTTAAGGCCGTGACACACTGCACGCAAAGCAGCGCGGAGCGGGGGCGCGCTGCCTTTGCGAGCAGTGTGTCATGTCATTTTCTGCTCGGCACCTCAGCTTGCGAGAGCTCGCGGAGCTGAGCGTGCCGAGATGACCAATTTCAACTTCAGCCAATCGGCTCGCGCGTATAAACCAGCGCGTCGCAATGCGACAGCTGGCAGGTTGTTACGGACAAGCCGATTGGCTGAAGGTGCTGTCAATCATCTGACTGCACTCAGCTCACACACTGCACGCAAAGCTCCGTGGCGGATAGCTTTGCTTCGCTCTGCACGGCTTCGCGTACAGTGTGTCACGACCTTTAGGGGTCTATTCACTAAGCTGCTGTAGGCAGCCGAGTGAATGACCGACCTGAAGGGAAGTGAGCCGAACACTGTTCGGCTATTCACTTCAGGCTGGTTCGGCTGACCCGAAGGGCAGAAGGAGTTCGACTCAGCCGATCCAACATCTGGATCGGCTGAGTCGACCCTCCGGCAGGCTACTCACTACTGTTCGGTCTATTCTCATAAATGCCGAACAGCAGTGAGTGAATAGCCGAATGCCGCTGAGCGGCATTCGGCTCGGCTGTTCTGCTCGGTCCCTCTGAGGGAAAACAGTTAAAAAAGGTAAAAGTAAATAGAAAACGATTCTGCGGAGCTAGCAGTGACAGCTAGCTCCGCCCAATAGTTTCCTATTGTCCGGCGGCTCTCCTGCCGTAAAAAAAAAAACTCTCCCGGGCGCATTTTTTTTTTCACTATTCTGAACGTTCCGTGTCAGAATAAAGAAAAAAAAGAAACAGCAGTGTTTCTCTCCTTGGCGGCCGGGAGCAGGAGACTCCCGGGGCGCCAGGGAGAGTAAGCTGTTTGGACATCAGTGTCCCTGGTTAGCAGGTAACCAGGGACGCTGATCTCTCTGCAAGTGGCCGGAGCCAGCCGTAAGATCACGGCTGGCTCCGCCCAGCTGTCAGAAGCAGACTGTCGACAGCTGTCAGAAGCAGTTGTGATTGGTGAGGGTGCTCTCCGCACACCTTTCAGCAGTCCCGGCCAGTAGAGATGAGGTGCTTGCAGTAACTCCCACGGATGGCACCGTGTAATGCACAAAGTAGAAAGAGTAGGTTACCAGCACTCAGATTGATTTAAATAAGTCCTTTTTATTGGACATACGTGTCACAATAGTCAAACAGCCGACGTTTCGGGGCCACGCAGGGTCCCTTCCTCAGGGCAAAAGATGTGGTCACATCTTTTGCCCTGAGGAAGGGACCCTGCGTGGCCCCGAAACGTCGGCTGTTTGACTATTGTGACACGTATGTCCAATAAAAAGGACTTATTTAAATCAATCTGAGTGCTGGTAACCTACTCTTTCTAAGCTGTCAGAAGCAGACATTGGCCGGCCGCTCGGCCAGTTTCGGCTTTCAGCACGGCTCAGCCGAGCCAATGCATATGCGTTCAGCTCAACTGAGCTGCTCGGCTAAGTTCGGGAGCTGTACGAGCTATTGTGAATAGCCCGTACAGCACCCCTTCGGTTCTACTGAACTGAAGGGGTCCTGGGGCCGAAGCTAGCCGAAGGATCGGCCGAAGCTACGGCTAGATCCTTCAGCAGCTTCGTGAATAGACCCCTTAGTATATAGAGCCGGCGTATGACAGCTGCCGTGTCCCACACTGGCTCTATATATTTGGGAAGATTATATTTTATTTTTCCAATACTTTTGCAGATATCCTTTTGCAAGGCCAGATTTAAGTTGTGTGCCCAAAAGACCATTTGCAGTATATTCAGTACACCACGTAAAATGTAAATTAGTGCCTAATAAACTATAAACAAGTGAAATATTGCTTTTTTACTGACGTCTTAAAAAGAACATATTTGTTGCAGTCTGTCACACTATATCTGGCCTGTAATCAAAGAAACATTTGTAAACTGATGTTCATATATGAAAGGAATAGATTTAGGGTGCTCATTTCATATGACTAAAAAAAAAATCTCATTTGGGGGGTAGTAATGAAACTTTTAAATATAGTAAGATTGTAAATAAGGTTCAGGGGTGCTGTATTTTTATAGCCCTTATTCACACAAGAGCGAAGAATCATATAAACTTTAATGGTGCTTGGAAAAGCATAGGTAGTGAGTCAATGAATAGTAAGTGAATTTAAACATGTGTCAGCTAAATATAGCTCTATACTCCCAAGAAAGATGTTAAAAAAAGTCAGACTGTCTTTCTGCCATCAGTCTTACATATTTCTGTATGCAATTTTATTTATTTTTTTGTGACAAAATATATATATTTGTTTTCATTTGTATTCTTTAGTCTTGACCATAATAAAGAAAATATGTATGACAACTGTACACCATTATATGTTCCCTTTAGGGCCTGTTAATGCATGGCGTTCACTTTAAGACCTGTTCGCACAACGCTAGTCACCACTAGGGCACATACAAGACAATCATTTTCTGTGTGCCCCATTGACACCACAACGTGGGTGTGATATGTGTTTGGCTATACTAAAGCATTTTTCCGCAGCGCACTGGATGTCACCGTAGGTCACCACATTGAATAGCAACGTAAAGTGCTGCTGTGCGGAGGCATGAATAGAGTGTAGACAGTCTAAATAAAGTTAAGAAAAGAAACAAACTGAAAAAAAAGAAACCAATGTATTATTATAACAATGCAAGGCACCGTGGCTTACCTCTGCCACCCAGTGGCCAGTATATGCACGATAAAATGCTGTGTTTTACCATGCAAATAATCCTGGTTTAGACAAACAATACAGTCATATTACTGAGCTTTTTTTCTACTACCTAATATTTACATTTGTCTTATCACCTGCTTAAATAAATGTAATTCCTTAGACAAAATTAATTTATAATACGGCTTCTGTTGTGTAAATATAGCAATAGCTAGGATATAAAATAGCCCACATGCAATGTATAGCTGTATAGAAAGGCAAACGGTTACCTAAGTAATTTGTTAAAAGTACAGAAAGGTGTAGAATGCCTCCATGCAACGTGTTGGAATAAATGTGTGTGAATATTACTGGAGAATACAGTGGATGGCGATAAGGGGCAAAATGCATTTACCCATGGCAACCTATAAACTTTCCGTTTAGGCCTCATTCACATGAGCAATATGCTCCACCCCCTGAAAAGCAATCCATGGTGGATCACTTTTCAGAAGGTATCCAGGAGGCAATACTGCAGCCTGTTGAATGTCATTCTTTTCTCTTTTTATTTCAATGGGGACTTTCTATTGCAATATTGCGCTGCAACTGCATGCCCACAATTGATTGCAATGGTCACGTTTGGCAAGCGCTTTCTAAATGCGACATGCTGTTTAAATTTTGCTGATGCATGGGCGCAAGTATGAACAGCCTATATAATAAGTTTTAGGTCTGTACACCTCTTGTGTAAATGTACAAGGTACAGAATTCAAATCATATAGAACTTTTGTGACTCACTTTAAACTGCATAGATCAAATGTATATTCTCTGTATGGCCCGTATGTAGTTAATAGCAGTATAGTGCCCATGCTTTAGATAGTAATTATTTTATCTAACAGTTGTTGCCCCCGATTGTTCAATACTTCTCCTGTCATTGTTTAACGCTTGGCAAGAGCTGAGCGTTGCATGTTTTATGCTGGTAGTCATCACATGACTTCATTACAGAGCCCAAGACATAAGCCATCTGGTGGTCAGCTTATACTTTTCTGTATTAAGTAACCAGAACCTTGCCAGTTTGGCCTCTCCGTCTGTTTGCTGAATCTTATTATGTGCCAGTCCTGAAAGCTGCGCGGCCATTTCCTCTTGTCGCTGCAGCTTTATACTTCTGTGGTTTCCCTGTATTGTGAGATGCAGCCTGGCTTAGTTCATTTTCACAGTCAACAACATCCTGCCTCTTAGCCGCTGCTGATGGATGATGCAGGGCTCATGAGCTGTGATTTTATTGGCCAGACGCACCCAGCCTATTTGGCTGCCTGAAGCACAATGAGAGCTTGATTTTGTTTCTTTTTTTCACGTTCCTTTCTATGTTCCCTGCCGGACTAAATAAAAAATGTGTTCGCAGGAGCTGGCAAAGAAAATCAAGGGCTATCAGGACCAGATAGCGTCGCTGAATTCAAAGTGTAAGATGTTAACAATGAAAGCCAAACATGCTACAATGTTACTGACGGTAACTGAAGTGGAGGGACTGACAGAGGGAATGGAAGAACTGGATGCTGAACTCCTCCCTGCACACTCTGCTCACCCATCAGTTGTTATGGTAAGGCCTCTGATCACATTATCTGCTATTGTATGAGCTGCGTTACATGGAGGCAGGAACAAAGCCACAGGCACAGCTACTGATGTCGGCCGCTTTCTTGCAAAAAAGATATTCGATTGCTTTTATGTAACATTTCTGTTATAATACAGTTCTTAAATCATAACAATCATATTCATTATCAGATTAAATCAGCTTATGCTTAGTCAAAATATTCCACTGACACTTCCGTTAAATGCAAATTTAAACAGCTTATGTTTTTTTTTGTTCTATGCTGTCCAATTGTCTTTAAAATGTTAACCAGCTCACTATTGTCTCCTTTGTTAGTGTAGCACATCTTTCCTGCATGCTGTTTGTTTACTGTCCAAGGCATGTGACTGGAGAGTGTCCGTGTCCAGACATCATTGAATTCATTCACTCCCCAGGGTCACTTTTTTGTTTCCTAGCTAGTAATCCCTTTTCATTGCCACAACTTTCAATGTTGTCATTTTTAGTTCTTGCGTGCAAGAATTTATCTAGTGACATTGTTAGTGCAGTATAAAATGGAGGACTGATGTAGGAAATGTATTGCTAGGCAACAGGGACATCTTACAAAATAAATGTTAGGATATCAGGTTACGTTGTTAAAAATGTACAAAGTCTTCTATCTCGTATTATTATTACAATTATTTTATTTTGCTATGAAAGGGTATCACAGCCATATCAATATGCAATGTGGCCTTTCAAAATAAGCACTGACTATAGGTTAACAAAAAATGTTCAGTTCCAACTTGTTTGCACAGAAATGTATTGGGCAGATATGAAATTACTTAATTATTATTATATGATTTCTGTAAGAAATAATGTTTCTTTCATCCACCAATAATGGATGACCATAATAATTTAGAGATGTCCTTGGTTGCATTTTATGGTGTTGTGTATGGCATCAATGGGAGGAATTTATGAACATGAAAGTTTTGGCACAAAGACCAAAGTGTCATGGCAACTAGGGATGTCCCGATGCCACTTTTTCAGGCTCAAGTACAAGTACTTCCCCTCATGTACTTGCCGATACCAATTACCGATACTTTTCTTAAAGGGACAGGTGACTTTAAATGATCCATAGTACAACTACATGTTATGTACTATGGATCATGATTTAACCTATTCATGTTACCAGGGGAGAATTGTAAATCTATTGTTGCAGTACATTCTATATGTAGTATATAGTACATGTACATATAGAGTGCACTGCAACAATAGATTTACAATTATCCTCTGCTAACATGAATGGATTAAATGATCCCTAGTACAGGGCTACATACAGATCATTTAATCCATTCATGCTAGCAGAGTATAATTGTAAATCTATTGTCTGCACTGTATTAGCAGTGTTTACTCTATATGTACTCTATATGTAGTACATATAGAGTATATACTGCTAATACAGTGCAGATAATACATTTACAATTATACCCTGCTAGTACTGTACATGTACTACATATAGAGTACACTACAGCAATAGATTTTTCAATTATCCCCTATTCCCATGTTAACATGATTAGGTTAAATCATGATCCATAGTACAACTACATGTTACTCTATATGAAGAAGTAAATGTACACTTGCAATCAGATTATAAATACAATACTAGCAAAGTGGCAAAAACTGAGCGGAGGAGCGTCGCATCACTTCTGTGGGCTACATTAGACCCCACCTGGAGCTCTGCCCACAGCAGTGACGCGACGCTCCAACAGCCTGCCCAGAGGACCCCAACCCCAGCCACCACGGAAGGTAAAAAAAAAAAACAGTGCAAGCTTCGGCGCTGGGCATCGGGGCATTTTGACAAGTACTTGTCAAAATGCCCTGTATCGGGCCCGATTCCGATGTTAGCATCGGTATCGGGACATCCCTAATGGCAACCACAAAATGTTATTGCTGTTATGTGTCTTTTTTTCTGTCGTTGCTCCTGCAATATATTAATGTTTGCAACTCACTTCATGTTTTCCAACATTTAGCATAATTTTTCAACTGCGTGGTATTTACACCCAGCATTTTCACGATATTTACACCCAGCATTTTCACGATATTTACACCCAGCATTTGCACGATATTTACACCCAGCAATTGCACGATATTTACACCCAGCATTTGCACGATATTTACACCCAGCATTTGCACGGTATTTACACCCAGCATTTGCACGGTATTTACACCCAGCATTTGCACGATATTTACACCCAGCATTTGCACGATATTTACACCCAGCATTTGCACAATATTTACACCCAGCATTTGCGACTGGCGCACATCCTAGAAATGCTCCTGAGCACTTCTTAAAGTATCACAAAGATAATTTGCCTTCATATTCTCAAGTCAGCTGAGCACTTCAGGGCTATTCAGTTGTCCTCCAGGAGGAGCTGTATAACAGAGATAAAACTTTGTGGTTAGTTAGCATGACTTTTTGGCCTTTGCGAGTAAAAATGTTGGTGCAAACACTTTCATAAATTCCCCTCATAATGTTTTTTAACCAATTCTGGGAGCACCTTTTTTGATGACAGTTTTTTAGTGTCTGTTATCAGCATTAGGCTCAGACAGGAGATAGGACAGCCTCCATCCTCATCCTTCTGCTCTAGAAGAAAAAGAATACAAGTAAATAATGTAACCTCTGAAAAGTTAGCCTGCAATATTATAATAATTCAAAAGCAGATATTCATATCATGCCTATTGGTGACAAGTTCTGTTTAGGTGAGACAGAAATGTAATCTCATGATTTTACAAATAGAAGGCAATACCATAACCTTTTATATGTCTTACTTTTACTAGGTTTACAATTAAATGTTTTTGTTTGGTATATGGCAGGGGCCCTTTTAATAGGGGCCCAACTAAATTTGTGACTGTATGTTGTAAAAGTATTGATAGATCCCAGCCTGTAAATAGTCTTAGGAAGACTACTTTGGCAGGTGTACAAAACATATCTTTATTGTGAAAAATGAAGTTTGTTCATGTTAGTTTTCAATTAACATACTGTATATTTCTTAATGAATGACACTGATGCTGATTAGTTGTCTTTTGACGTGTGTTGATTTGTGTGTGCACTTGTCTCTTACTTTCTCTGATCTGCTTGCTGCCTCCTGGGGTTCTTCTGATGGTCTTTCATGTCAGATGACCGCTGGTCGCTGTCACACTCTCTTGTCACCTGTCACTGAGGAATCAGGGGAGGAGGGTACCAACAGTGAGATTTCCTCTCCACCGGCTTGTCGTTCACCTTCACCTGTGGCTAATACAGATGCTTCTGTTAATCAGGTATCACTGTGCTGTATTTTCCCCCTACCTATTTACCTGTTTAAAGGCAGCATTCAGTTCTCTGTACCTTCTTGTCGTTCTGAGTCATCATACAACAAGGTGAAAAAAGACGTGTACTTTAGAATAAACCTGACCAGCCTAATTTGTCTAAAGTAATATTGGTGCTTAAGTGCAGCCACCTTGTGTTTTTTCGCAAATACCAATGTTAAAATTGTTTGCTGGGTCCCTGTGGAGCCGCCTTGAATCCTAGGCCCAGAGTGTACATGTACTTTGAATTCTGCCCATACTCTGTCATTTAGCTGCCCAATGCTAAAAACCTCTTTTGTCCACTGCAATGGTGGGCTGAAAAGAGGAGGCAGGGCTTAAGCTGACCATACCTGGAGTGAAGTTAGAGCCATGGGTGGCCCCGTCAGCACCCCTCCACTCTACAAAAGTTGATTTGTCAATTTAGTTTGGTCGATGAAGCTGACAAACATTGCCTGCAGCCAATAACTGTCCTGGTATTCAGCAGCGACTCCTGAGTACGATAGCTGGCAGTGGGAGATTTGTCCATCTATACCATTTGGTGGGACTGGAGGAATCTGTTTTTATTCTACTAGCGTATGGCCAATTTTACTCTTGACTTGGGCAAAAGACAAGACTCTCCATGTACAGCCTTCCAGGTAGGCTACAGAGGTACACAGAGACCCATTTGAAGACTAATACAGGTAATTGTGGACTTGGCAAGGTGTTTTTCAACACTGGTTTCAATTTTATAAACTTTTAGGGTTTCTTTGATATTCATTGAAGCGACATCTAATCAGAGGTACCCAGATCTTTACTGATCACCAGCAAAAACGTCATGGAAATAAAAAGATCCTGAAGTTCAAACTGTAGTTGTCTCAAAATGTCCCATAACAGCAATGGCATTTTAATGAATAACACAGTTGTAATAAAACTGAGTTTAGCTTTTCGCAAAAGAGCAGTCATATCAGTTCATCCATATATCAGACTGACTGCTTTTAACTACTACACTTCTACTACACAGTTGTTTGCTTTTAATCTTATTAAAAAATATGCTTTGTGCAAAACATTGTAGCTACTGATTGTTAAAAAGAAAATTGATACTTGGTACAGAAAGCTGAGTGTTGCACTTCACTGTGAAATAAATGTTTTGTCTTGTATTTGTTTTGTCTTGTTTTTGTTGTTTTTTCTGTGTTTTCTGTACAATGTTAAAGAACCACTTTACTCATCCTTAGTAGGGATGTACTCTGCCATATGCATTATGCTTAGGGACAAGGGATAGTTTCTGAACTAGGAAAAAAGTGAAACAGAATTGAGTTTATGTACCACGCATGGTGTAGGCTGGTGTAAAAATATACAAATAACAATGCTAAATATAAAGGTGGTTGTGATATATTGGCTTTGCCAAAAAATGTTGCTGCTTATGTTAATATGTTGTAGGTTAGATTGCAGAAAATTTCAGTAAATTGGTTATAGATCCTGCCCTGTAGAAATACACAATAGAAATAATGCTAATATCCAAAAGCCAAACCATCATAACATTATTGCTTTCCAATTTTCCTGTCAATATATGTACATTAAACCATTGACATGCAGGAGGGCAATACTGGTACTTTTAGAGTTAGGTATGTTTGCATGTAAAATTATCAGACACAGAAGTTAATGGGGAGAATAAAAAAACAACAGACTGATACAAACCACAAACAAAGCTTACTTTTAAACCCCAACTTTTGTGTAGGGTAGGGAAGAGTTAGAACTTAGGGCAGGTTTTTGTTGCTGCCTGTGTCGCCCATAATTAGACTTCATGTCACTTTCTGATTCATTAATTTTGTGCCAAAGAGACAGAAAGTGATGACAAATCTCTTTCAAACTGGGTATTTTGTAAGTGGAGAAAGGTTACCTTTGTCAGGTTTTTATTGCTGTGCTTATATTTCTATTCTGGTAAGGCCCGTTCCCCTTTTTTACTTGTTCTGGTATCACAGGGGAAGAAAGTGATTGCAATTTACACTAACGGGGTCAAACACAGCAATCAAAAATCAAAGGGTTTCTCACCTTTTTTCTTCCTTATCCATAGCTAAAAAAGTTTTAACATTTCTTGACCACCAAATAACATATAAGGTAACATGCTTTGTCTAGTCTACTGTTTAATGCTAGTATATTGCTTAGTATAATATAGTATAGTACACATAGTATATGGAATTAAACATGTAAAAGGATATTGTGGTTGATGGTTAGGATGAGACAAACTATTAAATAGAATAATATAATGTACAATAATGTACTATGTGCACAGGAGCATAACTGCAGCCCGCTGCCCCAGCTTCTTTGATTCTTCATGTGATTCCACAGTGCAGAATTATGTAAACCTGGTATTGCAGATCCACAGCTTGAAGTGTCTGTTCTAACTGCAGACAGTGATGTTAATTTAGGCATTTTTTCGGATAAATACAGTTGAAGATTATAATAGGAGTCTATGGGGAGTCTGGATAAAATGTTGTTTTTGGCATAGCATTTGTGGCATAGAGGAAAGTGTTGTCTGCACGTTGCTGTTTGGAAGTGATGGATGTGGAGTTGGAGACAGAAGTGTCTACTTAAGAGTGGGGGACTTAGAGATGTCTACTAATTGATGTTTAGGACCAAGGGGGTTGGAGACAGATGTATCTACTCTGTTCTGTTTAGGGGTGAGGACATTGAAGTTGGTGACAGAAGTGTCTACTCTGTGCTGTTTAGGAGTGGGGTACATGGAGCTGAACTCAGAGATGTGTACTTAGTGCTGTTTAGGAGCAAGGGAGTGGGAGACAGAAGTGGCTACTCTATGCTGTAGTGAGGGTCCTGGAGTTGTAGAGAAAGGTGTCTGCTCTGCTCTGTAGTGCTGTTTAGGAGCAAGGGAGTGGGAGACAGAAGTGGCTACTCTATGCTGTAGTGAGGGTCCTGGAGTTGTAGAGAAAGGTGTCTGCTCTGCTCTGTAGTGCTGTTTAGTAGCAAGGGTCTTTGAGTTGCATACACAGGTGTCTCTTAAGTGCTGTTTAGGGATAAGGTTAATGTTGTCAGGGGCAGAGGTGTCTGCTCGTTATTGTTTAGGTGCGAAATCACAGAATTGCTAACAGTGCCCAAATCCATATTCTTACAGCAGTTACACAGGAGGAAGATAACATTGTTTGTGCTTTCACTTCAATTCAGAGGAAGCATCCCAAGAGCCTCCCAATGTTCAGGCACTTGAACCCACAGCTATATGCAAACCCTTTAATGGAGTGATTGCCAGGGAGCCCACCTACTCTTCCCCAGGCCAGACTCAAGAGCATCTATAAGACAGAAATTGTTTCCTTGTCTTCTATTCTGTCTCTCCCATTGGTCCCATAGATACATTATTGCCACATATACTCAGTGTTTTCCTTGGGGTCCACTGTGGCTGTTTGTCAGAGATTATACTGTGTGTGTGTGTGTGTGTAGATATGTGTATGTGTATATATATAGATCTATATATCTATATAGATCTATATATATAGATATATATAGATCTATATAGATATATATAGATAGATATATAGATAGATAGATCTATGTATCTATCCATACACACATATTCATATGTGGTTTTTACATGACACTAAGACACTTTAGGTGCTTTACATCCAAATAATATATTTTTTACATTCTCTTAAGGTGCATTGCATAATTTTAAGGTACATTATATGTAGATCATACCAGGCTACTTGTGGTCCAGTAACATCAATCTCAGCGCACAAAATAAAACAAAAATACAGGACTAGTTTCCCAGATAGCAAGCAATTGAGCTGCAAGTTTGAAAATGACTTGCTAAACTATTGCAGACTTGCCAAGCTTCACAATTTTGTTGCACAATTACAGCAAGTCTACATTGCAAGGCTTCAGACCAGTGAGCTTGCAGAGCTCTTGCCAAGACTTGCAGGAGACTTTGCTGTAGACTTGCCAAGCAAATTTGCTACAAATTCAAAAGTGTCAACTAGAACTTGTACTGCAAGTGTTCTGCAAGTCTACAACTTGCCAGGAATGTGGGCAGCAAGTTAACAAGAATTACAATTTAACCCTATCACAAGTTTGTAGCAAGTTATCCTTGCTATCTGGGTTAGTCATTGGCACCAACGTTTTTTGTTTTGTTTGTTTAACACTTCAGAATTTCTTTGAATTGTTACAGGTGTTTGTGTTGATAAAACATAACCATAGTTTTTTTATATTCAAGGTAACAACATATATCGCAGTTACCGAAATTTGTATGCATGCTTGTGTTACATTTTCTGTTGAAAGTACTGTGTTATCCTTCATGCTCTTAGGACATTGCTTATTACCAGGCCTTATCTGCTGAACAGTTGCAGACAGATGCTGCCAAGATCCATCCTAATAGAGCTTCTCCGCAAGAGATGTATGAGTCAGGAATAGAGACAGCTGCTAACGCCAAATTAGATGATCTACAGCGTTCTTGGGAGACGCTGAAGAATGTGGTAGGTTTTCATCTTAATCTTAAGCCAAATGTATGTGTTCAAAGTTAAAAGCAAACACTAACTCTTACACAACATGGGATGGAATGTGCAAAATTACATTTTCTCAAACCCAATGAACACTCAAGTGAGTGAATGCAAAAATATGTAATATTTGGGCATGTTTTTTCTTCACACTGCCTCTGAATTCCAATTCCTTACATCCTGCTCAGAAATAATAGCTTCAGTGATTTTGAAGGGCAAGACCTTTCTAAACTGCAAAAAATGGTACTATAAGCAAGGGTATACTTATTGTGGTTTTTCTGTTATACAACTCAGTGGAAGGGAGGGATTCTTGAGGTGCACATACTTGCATAGGTTGCAGGCAGATTGGACTGTGTGTGAACTGTTCCCAGTATACAAAGCCAAAACACATCTGCTTTTTTGGGGGCTGCAGATACTGTATCTAAATGTGTTTTTTCTGTCCCGTTCTACTTGTGTTTTTTTTTGCAATCATAAATTATTTATTACAAATTGTTTATGGTGGATTTTAAGGTCACCTGTGCTACTATCTTTAGTTATGTTTTAGTAAATTCTGCTTTGATCTGTCTCTATTAGATTAGTGAAAAGCAACGCACATTATATGAGGCTCTTGAACGACAACAAAGGTACCAAGATTCTCTTCAATCCATTTCCACTAAAATGGAGGCAGTTGAAGTTAAATTAAATGAGAGTTTGGAGCCTAGCAAGACGCCTGAAAGTCAGATGGCTGAACACCAGGTAATCTGCTATATATTGATTGTGTGTAGAATAATTTACTGTGCCTACAGAGCTCTGTGGTTACAAAATGCCATACAATAATATGAAAAATAATGGTACACTGTTATTTTACTTATGGGTATATTCACAAAGCTGCCGAGGGCAGCCATGTGAATAACCAACCCGAAGTGAAGTGAGCCGAACGCTGTTCGGCTATTCACTTCAGGCTTGCACGGCTGATTTCAGCCGTACACCGACTGAAATCAGCCGTACATCGGCTTGCTGCGGCTGGGTTTGGTGCAGAAGGAGTTCGACTCAGCTGATCCAACATCTGGATCGGCTGAGCCGAACCTCCGGCAGGCTACTCGCTGCTGTTTGGCCTATTCTCATAGAGGCTGAACAGCAGTGAGTGAATAGCTGAATGCCGCCGAGTGGCATTCGGCTCGGCTATTCTGCTCGGTACCTCAGTGGTACCGAGCACAATAGAAAAACTGTAAAAAAAAGTAGAAAACGATTGGGTGGAGCTAGCAGTGACAGCTCGCTCCGCCCAACTGTTTTTTCTATTGGCCGGGACCAATGAGAGCTTAGCAGAGCCAGCGGTGATATCACCGCTGGCTTCGACAAACTCATGACAGTTCAGCATCCCCTGGTCACTAGGTAACCAGGGGATGCTGAACTGTCATTACACACTGTGATATCACGGCGGCTCTGACAGGTTCTCAGTGTACTGACAGATCAGCGTCCCTGGTTACCTGGTAACCAGGGACGCTGATCTGTCTCTGCATGCAAGTGGCCGGAGCCAGCCGTGAGATGACGGCTGGCTCCGCCCATCTGTCAGTAGCAGGCTGTCGGCAGGCCAATGGTCGGCTGTTCGGCCAGCCTCGGCTTTCACCTCGGTTCAGTCGAGCCAAAGCATATGCCTTCGGCTCGACTGAGCCGCTTGGCCAACTTCGGGAGCTGTACGGGCTACAGTGAATAGCCCGTACAGCAGCCCTTCGGTTCTACTGAACCAAAGGGGTCCTGGGGCCGATGCTAGCCGAAGTATCAGCCAAAGCTACGGCTAGATCCTTCGGCAGCTTTGTGAATAGACCCCTTAGTGCTTGGTTTTCAGCACTGGAAACAAGTAAAATGACCCCCTCGCACTTACACATCCTTTGACCCATAACCTTAACCTATCCATGTCACCTTTCCTTCACCAGGGCCCTAAAACTTAACTAAACCATAATTAGTTATTTATCGCCTAACTCCTCTTCCCAACACTAAGGGGTCTATTCACGAAGCAGCCGAAGGATCTAGACATAGCCTCGGCCGATTCTTCGGCTAGCTTCGGCCCCAGGACCCCTTCGGTTCAGTAGAACTTAACATGTTCGGCCGAATCGAAGCCATGCGAAGCAAGCCGATGTACAGCTGATTTCAGCCGATTTCAGGCATACAAATCAGCCATACAAGCCTGGAGTGAATAGCCGAACAGTGTTCGGCTCACTTCACTTGGGGTCGGTCGGTCATTCACTCGGCTGCCCTCAGCAGCTTAGTGAATAGACCCCTAAAACTTTCCCTAAAACCTAACTGAAACTTTAACTTAACCCGAAACGTGATTTTTATCTTTTGCCACAAAAACATAGCATTAAATCTAACCTTACTCGATATCCCCTGACCCCGGCCTTAACCCAACTCGTACCATTAACCCCTTGCGCAAAGTTAAGTTGTAACTCATACATATTTTTTTGTAAATAGAGAAAACAATTGATAAGGTAATAATTAAATAGGCAGCCCAACAACCCCAACAAATGTTGCTGCCTTAGGCTATGGCCTCAGTTGCCCTTCCACAAATCCAAGCCTTCGTCCTTTTCTTATTTGTTTATAGGTGGGTCATTACATTACTTGTTGCTAACTTTTGATAATCTAATCAACAAATTAAACACGTCTGTATTCCTTGCAGTGATCAATCAGTATAGGTATCTAGAATGGGAGCTTTAGAAGTGTATATTATCATATACACAGTTATTCTGATGTGCTGGAAAATCTCCATGTTGACATTTTCCAATATTACTCTTGTCTGTGGATAAAAGGGAATGCACCTTAATTAACCAAGTTAGTGAGAAGATTGCTGATGACTGCTCAGCTCCAGTGAAAATGTCCAGATCCCTTATGCACTGTTTTCAGTAAGAGATCTGCCAATTTATGATACATATCTAAAGTCTAGCTTTATGCATTAGTTATCACGTGCTACCTATTTTAAGCCAAAACTTGAAAACCCAGGTGTATATAATACATTTTTATATTTCTCTCCAGGCTCTTATGGATGAGATTTTAATGTTGCAGGAAGAGATCAGCAAGTTGCAAGCTTCCTTTGCAGATGAGCTAGTATCTGAATCTCTGGATTCAGAAGCTGCTGATCAGTTAGCTGTGCAATCAACGCTGACTGTCTTGGCTGAAAGAATGGCCACCATCAGAATGAAGGCCTCAGGAAAACGGCAACTCTTGGAGGTACAGACAGCAGTCAAGTTATTTAAAGAAAATATTGTGTATATGCACTTATCACTGAATATTGCTTTAAGACTGTATAAATAGGGTAATCTGTTTTTTATATTTTTTTTTCCTACCAGTGCATGTATAGTATTTCTGTAAAACGGATATATACTGAAATAGAAATCGCCATTCTTATTGCTAAACATTTTGAAATAATTTTGCTGTCATACAACTATGCAACTCATCAACACAAGCGAAAACAAAATGTATGCATACTAAATTATTCAAATTGATTTAAATTAATTTATGAGCTACCACATTTCTATAACAGATAGTGTACACAGACCTGATCATCACCGTGTCCTTTATGCCATGATAAATGAACAACTTTCTGCCTAAACATTAAAAATAAACTGTAGATTTTAATTATAATCTTAATACAGTAAACTCCCAGTTATCCAGCACCCACGGGGATCGGTAGGTGCCGGATAACTGTAGTTTCTGGTGGTTTGAGGGTTAATAGTAACTCTCAAGCAACCTCCCCCCCCATGCCCCCCCCCCATTCTTCAGCAGCCGACAGGTGAATGTAAGCAGCTGGGAGCAATAGCCAGACTGCTGAAATGATAAAGGCTATTTCAAATTGCAATAGCCAATAGCAGGCTGGCTATTGAAACCCCACCCACTGAGCAGAGCAGCGGACCTTAGAGAGAAAGTTCTCTCTCTGGTCTGCTCCCCAGCTCAGTTGGCGGGTACAGCAGCCAGCCTGCTAAGCTATTGGCTATTGCAATTTGAAATAGCAAATAGCTGGGTGGCTATTGCTCCCCATTGTTTACATTCTGCTGCCGACAGCAGAATCTAGATGTGGTCTGCAGAAAAATGTAAACACAGAATGTAAACAAATATTTTTTTTTTTTTAGTGTGCACCAAGCAAACAACATTTTTTTTGTGTTTATTAAGAAACCAGCAAAAAAAATTGAGGACATATTATGTCCTTAATTTGTTTTGCCAGTTACTTGAGAGTGTCGGTTGCTCGAATGCCGGATAAGGAGTTTACTGTAGTACTATACTGTATATTACTTGTGGGGAAATCAAAAGAATATTGTGCATGGTTACATTGATTGAGTGCTAGTTTCCTTCAGCAGAAATGCATGTTTTAAGCACAATGACAGGAAAGTTAAACAAATTGTGTCATTAGGAAAAACTGAATGAACAGCTGGAAGAACAACGCCATGAACAAGCTCTGCAGAGATACCGCAGTGAAGCAGATGAACTGAATCACTGGGTGCTGGGGGCCAGGTCTACCTTGGAAAATGTATTGCGTGCCTTTGAAGAGCCTATGGATATGGAGGCACAACTTATTGATTGCCAGGTATAACGTGTCACAGATATAATATTGTTCAGAACTCTCTATTTTAAGAGACATTAAAAATTCTTAGACAGGCCAAGAAGTGTATCTGCTTCATGTACATATTTGCTTATGATGCACTACAGGAATAGCAGAAATGTGCTTCTTAGCCCCAGTGACATCATCACAGGAACTACAGCACTCTTATTTTCACCAGAGTCAGGAAGAGGGTTTAAAGAGGGTGCTCTGTGTCACTTCCTCCAGACGCAGATTACCTATTGAACTTAGTTTGAATACACTGCACCTCATCAGAAGCTGGACATTTATGAAGCAATGCTGTAATCCATGCAGCTACAGCTTTAAGCAGGGTAATGCTGTCCTGTGCCTTTAAAGCTCCTCTCCTGATTTTCTGATTCAATGCCAAGTGTAGTAAAACGCAAAATGCATGTACTTATTTTCTTTTAAACAACATTGCACGTAAGGGGATATTTATAAAGCATTGACTGTGATATTCACCAAACATTCACTGGTGGTAAATTGTTCACTCTATATTAAAACACATTCGCCAGGAAGACTCCCCAGCCGGAATTTTTTGGTTATTGCCACGTTCACTGCTTTATAAATATGCTCCTTAGGTTTTAATCTGCTGCCTGTTATAGGAAGGGGCCTGGCACATAAAAAAATAAATTATTGGCCCTTCTAAACCATTTGACCACAGCTTATGGACTAGGAAGTACATAACTGCCAAATGGTTGCAATGGTGGTGAGCAATCACAGCAGTTCGCTGGTTTCCTGAACTGCAAAGCGCTTGAGCTTGGGTCAATTTTAATGCAGACAAAGACCATATTCTTCCTGAGGCACAGGTGAATGTTCCCAGCAGATAGAGCATAGTTTGTAGAAGACTTTAAACATCTTCTTACTGTTCTTTTGCAAATGCTGCTACATGCAGTGATATACCTCCCTAAACCCAGTATGTGTGGACAGTATGGCCACTTGCTGACTTGGCACAATCCACGGGCAGGTTAACTCTATGATAGGACACAGAAGTTGAATCCAACATAGATTTACTTCAGAAAAATGCAATTCAAAAATGATTTTCCAGTCTTTTTGGGTTGTAAAAAGCAATAACATGTCTAAGCCCCCTTTCTGCAGTAGAAAGTGAACTATATTGAACAGCATGGAGCAGGAAGCGTCTAGCTAAGGACTGTATTTATACTAATTAGCACCAACAGGAGGGAAACATACAAAGGGCACACAAATAAACAGGCTGCTGTAGAAGCACATTACCTGTTGCTTACAGTTTACACTCATCTGTTTTATATGATCCCCTGAATAAGGTAAATGAGGATTCTTCTATAAATAAAACTGTCTGTGAAGTTACACATTACTGGAGCAGTTCATGGAAGGATATCCTGTAAGGATGTGTTTATACAGGTCAATCTGTAAAGAGGATTATGCAGCTATACTCAGAGTCATTCACAAACGTTTGAAGCCAAAAGCTTATCCATACAGCACATGGCTCATTTGTAGAAAACAAGACAGAGAGCAAAGAGCTGAGGTCTAATAATGACTAGACTTGAAGAATAATGGCACATGCAAGACTATTTCTTTGATAGATTTGCCATTTACTGGATTCAAGAGAAAACCTTGCTGATCAATCTCTGATAAACAAAAATGACTCTCCATTTGAAGTGGATTTGTTTCTGTGACAAAGGCTTTGCCATCGATGTAACAGTGATGCCGGAGTGCCTAATTTCATAAAATGTTTGAATTTGCTTCTTTGTTTTCACTGCTGCAGAACATGCTTTTGGAAATCGAACAGAAAGTGGTGGCTTTGTCGGAACTTTCTGTACACAGTGAGAACTTACTCATAGAAGGGAAGGCCCAGACTAAGGAAGAGGCCGAACAGTTGGCAATGAAACTGAGGACTTTGAAGGGCAGCCTCTTGGAACTTCAGAGAGTGCTTCAGGACAAGCAGATAAGCATCCAGGTAGTTTAGCCTAATATAATAGTGTTTATAGGAATGATTTATTATTTCTTGAGGAAATAATTCATTACACTAATACTTTATTATATTCTTCTTATGTTACCCACGTTAGAAAAGCTGCCATGGCCATGCTTCTAGTCAGGTTTCTAGCCAGGTAGTCCAGATATTTCTGGACTGATTTGTAATCCTTTTATTGGCTTAAAATTCCTAGCATTTACTTGACTTAAGTCAAATAATGTGTTTAGCCAACATAGCAGCGATAAATCAATTCACAACCCTTACATTCTTTTTTTGGAATTGCAAAAGATATTTTTATCAAGAATCAGTATTTGATTTATGATTACTTTTAGGTTTTCCACGTGAAACGATATAATAAATTAGCTTCTCATGTTTTAGTTGCAGCCAGATGCAATTAAGAACTGTCACACAATGCCAGTAACACCGTTACAATTCTTTTATAAATGACACGTTAACCTGCACATTGTACATTGCAGTGAGTGTGGTACAAACAAATGCTATGTGTTCCCATGCTTTTGGAGATCTACCGTATTACTTTAACAGTGCTTTTATGTTTTGTTTGTTCCATAGGCTAAGCTAGCATGGGGAGAGATGAAAGCACACAAGAAAGCAGAACATGTAATGTGTCTGTTTTTCTAGTTTGGGGTCTGCTTGCTGTTTGATTTTTCTTGTTCTTGGGGTGTGCTGTGCAAGCTGAAACATTCTTAACACATTCCTTTCCAAATTCTCTTTATTCTATTTGTGATCAAATATCCATTTACCAAACAATCATTTTAAAGATCTGATTCCTTTGTTTATAGATTTTCTCAGTAAATCAATCTTTGCCCATAAAGGCTTCTTTTTTAATATATATTTTGAAATGGTTACATTATTGCTTTTAAAGTAAAATAGATGACAATCTAAAGGCTCAATTGACAAAGCTATAACACATGCTATTTGCCATACAGATCACTATTTTCAGACATGTTTGTTAGTTGTCTCTGAGGAAAATCTATAATTTTGGCACAAAAAGATCATTATAGCTGAGTCCTAAGTCAGTCCTAGATGCAGGTATATGTGCAGATTCCCCCATTCAATGTTTGCCTACATTGTTTGGTTTGATGGTTAATTCCTTCTTTAGTCCTCTAGCTTTTTTATAAACTCACATATTATTGCACATGATAGTTATTTAAGACAACATGTTTTGCCCAGCACACTTCATTATCTTTAACATATTTGGCTCATAATTTATTATCTAGCTAAAATTACAAAATCTAAGCATTGATTGGCTGGCATAAAATGTGCACCTAGATGTAATGTTAGTGAATAACCTTCACTGACTACAAGTGTTAGATGCTCATTTGTCTATTGGTGTTTAGATAGGTAGTCATAGTATTGTGTAGTAAGACTCCGGTAGGCCTATGCAGACGCAGCTTTCATTGTTGTTGGAATGCTGACTTAGATTGCATAGTTAACACAGTAAACATCCACCTCTAGGAAATGGTTGTTGTTATAATGTTACATATAGAGGGTTATTCACTAAGGAGCCGAAGCATTAAGCCTAGGGTTGCCACCTTTTCTTCAAGTGAAACCCGAACACTCTAGCGCCACTAAAAAATTTTTGGGGAGAATAGAGAGAGAGTGAGGAGAGGCAGCTAGGGGAAAAGCCGAACCTTCGGCTAATCCTTCGGCTCGATTCGACTGCAGGAGCCCTTCAGTTCAGTGGAATCGAAAGGCCGCTGTACAGGCTATTTACAATGGCCCTACAGCAGCCGAAGGCAGTCGAAGGGCTCAGCCGAGCCGAACGCATATGCTTCGGCTCGACTGAGTTTAACTCACAGCCGAAGCGGGGAGAACAGTCTGCCGAAGCAGACTGTTCTCTCCGCAATATGTAAACAAATGAAAAAACACAGCATGGGGTCCTCCTCCCAAACCAATGTTAGGAGGGACCTCCATTTAAAAATAAAAAAAATGCCCTGACCAATCCTAGCCTGTCTCCCCCCTGATATCGGCCAATTCCCTGTTTATTTTTTTTGTGGCTGCTGTCTGAATACAAAGAAAAAAACCCTCAGATAACAGGGGAAGCATTAGCTCCTGTTATCTGCTGATTCCCCTGCTATGTTTTTTTCTTCAATTATTATGACAGCTGCCGCAGGCTGCCGTCAGAGTAAAGAAATAAAAACACAACAAATAGCATAGGAATGAATAGCTGGGCTGCTATTGGCCATTTCAAATTACAATAGCCAATAGTAGGCTGGCTACTGCACCCGCCCACTGCTGCTGTCAATCAGCAGAGGTGGACCTGATGGAGAACTTCAGGTCCACCTCTGCTGATTGACAGCAGCAGTAGGCGGGTGCAATAGAGTTTTGCTGGTCAAATCTCCTATTAAACTGACCATTCGCCAATAATACAAAAAAACAACAAATTCCTCCATCCACACTAAGCAGTATTTGTGGATGAATCTTTTTTTGCAGTTATTGTATTCTGACAGCCAGTACCTGCCACTGTCAGAATGCATGAACAGTAACTGCGGCCTTAGTGTTATGCAACTACATAATGTTACCAACTTCAGCCAATGCAGCCACCATCCTCCTAGGCTGCATCTTTTTTTTAAATAGGAAGGAGGATCATGTGACCTGATTTTAGAAGATGATTCTATTTCACATTTTATTTTTAAAGTTAATTCTATCTATCAAGTGTTTCTCTAGTGAAGTATGTCTTTTATTTTGCTGCTTTAACTGTTGATGGTAAGCTATTTGAACCGCTCCTTACCAGTTAATTAAAGCTGATCTAGTTTGTCTCTGCTTCATTGACGTCACAAAGTCTAAATCAGATATCTGACGTGACACTGGTAGGAGAGGCTAGAGATTACCTTGCTTAGACTATGACAGACCTGCTTGAAAAGTCAGACACAATACCTAATGGCACATTCACTATAGGAGCACCATACTAATTGGATTGGAGTAATTATGTGTCTATGTGTATCGTCAAAAATAGTGATGTAACTAGTACTGCAGTTATTTTTAGATGTAACACAATTACGGCTCTAAAACCTTATACCTGATTTTTGTAACTTTATAAAATGACCACATAGCAAAATACATTGTACTCTGGTATGAAAGAATAGATCTGCTGTGTACACAGAAGCAGGAAACTGTAAACTAGTTAACCATTTTATATGAAGGTTATGAAAGACAGTTGTGTGATATTGAGAAGAGCCAGTCATATTACTGCTGTCATTTAATTTTTCATCATACAGGGGACATTTCATGAAAAGGAAGAATCAGAGGCAGAGCTGTCATCGTCACAAAGTCCCAGTGTCCAAGAATGGCTGGTGCAAACGCGTACAACTCGCTCACTGCAGAAGCAGAATAGTCTTCAGAAGCAGAAAGTAAGTACTGGAAAACCTGGCTTTTTTCTTAAAACAAAGGGATAATGATATAATTTATTACATATAAGTAGCACAATTAAAGGACACTATAAACACTACAGAGTGGCAGTGTTATTGTACTTAGGCTGTAAGACAATAAATAGCCTGCAAAGTACTAAATCCTAAGGTAAATCTCAGCTGTCTGTGCCCCACTGGAGAGATTTACCTTCACTTCCTGTACTGTAGACTCAACAGGAAAGTTGTTGCAGGAACATGTGTCCCCATTGGAGGAATTTCCTCACCTCTTACTTTATTAACAATTATTAACATAAAAATCTTGGATTTCCTTCACTTTTGTCTTGGCAACAGTGATCACCAGGGCACATAGAGCTAATATCCCCAGCGTGGACACGTACTGCTATAAAAACTTGACAGAGGGTCAAACACTTACCTACTCTATCCAAATCTTAAACAAGAACTCCGGTGAAATTATTATTAACCATTGCAGTGGGGCTACCCCACACTGCAAAGGTTAACTGTTAGTTTTGGTCTGGGGGAAAATAACAATGTTATTCTCACTCGATCCTCAGAGCTAGCTTGCTCTTGGAGCCTCTCTACCCCTTTGCTGCAGCGGTCTAAGGGCCGTGAGTTATCACGTGCTATACACAGTGTATAGGACCTGAGGACGTAGAGGAACATACCCTTGCTGCAGCAGAGGAGGAGACAGGCTGGAGGGAGTGCTGTCACAGCCAGTTGGCTCAGAGGATCAAGTGAGTATAACTTTGTTATTTTCCCCCACTGCAAGGGCTAATAAATCATGTCCCTGGAGTTCTGCCTAAAAAAATTGCATTTTATATACACTTTAACCTAATCCCTAAAATGAGCCTTTAACTCTCAACTTTCTCCCTAATAACAAAAATGTAACCCCTCAAAACCCTGACCTTAAAGCAACTCTGTCTTTAAAAAAAATCATTCCATAAATAAAAGTTAAAAAAACCCACAAAAAACAGCCAGCCTTTAAAAGAGTATTAATAATACTTTAAAATCTTACCACCAGCAACTGTATTTAGGTGTAGATGCACTTTAAAAGCACCTTTTTATGCTTTGACGGACTATCCTTTGGGTTGTAGATTGCTTAGTCAATGGAAAGGTAATCCGTGTTTTTGTATATTATGTACTAGGAACTGGAACAGGAACTTGCTGAACAGAAGAAATTATTGCAATCTGTTGCAAGTCGTGGAGGTGAAATCATAAATCAGCAAACGGCCACGGATCGGACAAATGTCAGGTATAGAGCTTCTCCTGCTCTCCAGATTTTGTGTGTTTGTATTTTGGGCTTGAATGGATTTCCTGTAAAACTGAATACAATGGTAGATGAGTTGGCATAGCAATCAGTCATGTTCCCGATGTTATACCAATGTGAAAAAGAGGTTGAAGAATTAGGAAAATAATTTCAAGACAAATTTGCATCTTTAAAGTTAGACTCTCAAGACAGAAATACTCAACTGTTTTACCTGCCACAGAATATGTAAATCTCTGTAGTTAGACACCACAGCCAGGTCTCAGACATCCACAACAGATTACTCTGCAGTTATGCAATGCAGCTTGGTTTAGGACCCATCATAGTTTTTCTCATTGGATAATGAAGGAGCAGAAACACAATAATAACTTAATTTGTTTGCTCTCCTCCACTGTAAGCAGAAAACCCAATGCAAACAACAGAGCCCTGATCCTCCCTTACCTAAACTTTGGCCATACACTGGCTGCTCTTGTGGATGATCAATGTGTTGGCCGAACAATGACTGCAGCCAATCAGCTACAGTCACTGTTCAGGTATTTTGACAGTGGTGGATGCAGGCTGTCAGAATGCCATACCCAGCGGGCTGAACAAAAGAAATCTATTAGTGTATAGCCAGCTTAAGTGCAGCTGAGTATGTTACTACACGGATATCAAGGCAAATTTAGTTACTGCTTAAAAGAATGCTAAAAATGGTTTGAAGGGAAAGTATAGTATATTTTTAAAGAGTTATCATTTAAGCTATTATTGGAGACTTCTGTATTTGTCTAAGCTTTATTCAAAAGTCCTGGTTAATAGTTGTTAAGATCCGATATCAGCCTGACAGGGTGTACATTGATTGTCAGTGTGAGAAAGAATAGTAAAGCCCAACCACTGTGTCCCACTGCAAAGCAGAAAACACTTCCTAAGTATGGAATGAGGAAATATGGCTTGCTGTGTACACATACAATTATAATACTTTTGGGGTTATTCACAAAGCTTCCGAAGGAAGTCGAGTGAATAACCGACCTTAAGTGAGCAGAACGCTGTTCGGCTATTCACTTCAGACTTGTACAGCTGATTTCGGCCGTACATCGGCTAAAATCAGCCCTACATCAGCTTGGTTCGGATGGCTTCGGGTCAGCTCTCATTGTAATGACAGTTCCGCGTCCCCTGAGCAGAGCCGGCAGTGATATGAAGGCCAGGCTCCGCTGAGCTCTCATTGTAATGGCAGTTACCCGGTAACCAGGGGACGCTGATCTGTCATTACAAGTGGCCGGAGCCAGCTGTGAGATGATGGCTGGCTCCGCCCAGCTGTCAGCAGCAGGCTTTTAGCCGACCAATGGCCGGCCGTTCGGCCCCCTTTGGCTTTCACCTCGGCTCAGTCCAGCGGAAGCCTTTTCCATTCGGCTCGACCGAGCCGCTCGGGCAACTTCGTGAGCTGTACGGGCTATAGTAAATAGTCCGTACAGCAGCTCTTCGGTTCTACTGAATCAAAGAGATCAGGCAGCCGGAGCTATTGCTGATCCTTCGGCTAGCTTTGTGAATAACCCCCTTTTCTATATATCAAGTTAACCTCTTTTATTTGTTTAACTAAAATATCCCAATGTTGGCAAGGTTGCTTTTTTTATTCATGGGTTTTAGGCTCCATTCACACCTAAGCATTAGAGTAAACTGGTAACTTAGAGGCTTTTTTATTTTGCTAGTTTTTCAATTTGCAGAAGAGGAGCAAAATCACGAAGCTCACAAAAATACCTAAGGCTTCTTTTGGGCCAGAATCATGCATTTTTGGCCCCAAATGGGCGCAGTTGAAAAATTTGTTTTTCAAGGGTTTTTTCAGGTGCTCCTATTACAGTCTATGAGGCCAAAATGCTCAACTCTGCCACAAAAGAAGCTCAGGTACTTTTTCAAGCTTCATGCGGCTGGCGACAAGCAACACAACAGAGGCCATTGAAAACAGTTGAATTCCTCTTGTTGAGCATTGTCATGCTTAGGTAAAGATGCTATACAAACCCTATGGTGTCTATTCACTAAGCTGCTGAGGGAAGCCAAGTGAACAACCGACCCCAAGTGAAGTGAGCCGAACACTGTTCGTCTATTCACTTCAGCCTTGTACAGCCGAGGCCTTGCCGCTGAGCAGCATTTGGCTCAGCTGTTCTGCTTGGTCCCTCAGAGGGACCGAGCAGAACAGAAAAATAGTTAAAAAAGTAAAAAAAAGTAAATAGAAAACGATTGTGCGGAGCTACTAGTGACAGCTAGCTCCGCCCAACAGTTTTCTATTGTCCGGCTGTTCTGCTGCCGTAAAAAAAAA